ATAACTCCTAGCAAGACCTTAACTCATATTTTCTCATCTTCATCCCAGAGAAGAAATGACTCTTCTCTAGCTCTAGTTCAGAAAATCATGAGGAAAAATTGTTGATTGAATTTGGAGCAAACATGGCCTTTTTCTGCAGTTCTGGGAATTGAGCGCAGGGCCTCACCTATGCTGAGCATGTACTCTACCCTTGAGCTACGTATCCAGCCCATACATCAGACTTCAGATCAGTTACTGTGGACAGGGTACAAGGTCAGGTAAGGCCATGGGAGCTCCCATTTTGGCCCACTTGCTTAGAATGAACAGGAAGGCAAGGAGCAATTGAACAATAAACACTCAAATACTTTTGTAATTACCCACATTCTTGAAGTATTGTCTATATTTAATGACTCCAAAATCCAGTTTTTCAGCCTTGAAAACTATCTACAATTCAGACTATCTTCTTGACAGCTTCACAATTAAATTAAATTGATGTCTTTAAATTTAGGATAGAATTCCTAGTTTCTTCCCCCAAACTCTGATCCTCTGTAGTTTTATCCATCTTGGTAAATACCAAGCACTCAGCTGCTCAAGCACAAATTTCTAGAAGTTATCTTTGATTATTTTCTCTCATCACTCACACCTATCCATTATCAGATTGTATCAGAGCAAGCTACAAACGCATCAAGAATTAGACCCCCACCCACATTTCTGTCTCCACTACTACCTTGCCAGACCAAACTCCCTTCATTTCTTGCCTTAATTCATGTGTAGCATCCTAACTGGTCCCCCATGCTTCTGCTCTTTACCCATTAACAGTCCATTCTCGATGTAGCAGCCAGGGGGGTTAACTCACACTATCACTCTTTTCTTTGCACCATCCCGTTCTTTCCCATCATACTTATGACAAAGTCCTCAGTTCCCTAACTTACAGATCATTTATATGAGCTGGCCCCTACCTCCTTTTCAATTTAAGCACTCATACCCTCTATACCGCACTGACTTTTCCAAAATTGGGCACCCTGCCCCCAGCTTTCGCCACAGCTGTTATGCCAGATGGTCAGTTCAAAGATATCAGCTTGCCTGACTACAAAGGAAAATATATTGTGTTCTTCTTTTACCCTCTTGACTTCACCTTTGTGTGCCCTACGGAGATAATTGCTTTCAGTGACAGGGCAGAAGAATTTAAGAAACTTACCTGCCAAGTGATTGGTGCTTCTGTGGATTCTCACTTCTGTCATCTGGCATGGATCAGCATACCAAGGAAACAAGGAGGATTGGGGCCTATGAACATTCCCTTGGTGTCAGATCCCAAGCGCACCATTGCTCAGGATTATGGGGTCTTAAAGGCTGATGAAGGCATCTCATTCAGAGGCCTCTTTATCATTGATGATAAGGGTATCCTTCGGCAGATCACAGTAAGTGACCTTCCTGTTGGCCGCTCCGTTGGTAAGACTCTGAGACTCATTCAGGCCTTCCAATTCACTGACAAACATGGAGAAGTGTGCCCAGCGGTGTGGAAACCTGGCAGTGATATTATCAAGCTGGATGTCCAGAAAAGCAAAGAATATTTCTCTAAGCAGAAGTGAGCACTGGGCCATGAGAACAAAAGCTCTTTTGTATTTTCTTTTCATCCTTTAAACACCTACTTTTCAATTTAAGCACTCTCATGCCTTCTATACTGCGCTGACTTAACTTGGGTTTTTTTGGTGTTTTTTTTTTAACTCATTCCTGCCTTGGGGTCTTTGTACAAGTTATTCTCTCTGCCTAAAATGCTCTTCACCTAAATCTTCACAAGACTGGCTTCATCTCCTTATTCACATCATAATATCATTAAATGCTAATGTCATTAGGTGACTAGATAGGTCCAATAAAAAACAGCCACCTCCTCTGCCTTTTGTCACATCAGACTACTGCAATTCTTTGTACAAAATTTACTAAATTGTTTTTCTCCCTCTTTAAAATGTTTCATGGAAAGAGGAACCTTATCTTGTTTTCTCTTATATCCTTGTGCAATATGATGAATTTTAAGAAATAAATATACCCCTGGCAACTACTGTCTAGATCATAACACAAAACATCACAACCGCCAGGCATGGTGGCACGTGCCTGTAATCCCAGCCCTTGGGATGCTGAGGCAGGAGGATCGCCATGAGTTTGAGGCCACCCTGGAATACATAGTGAGTTAGAGGCCAGCCTGGAATACATAGCAACATCATGTCTCAAAAAACAAAACAAGGAGCAGGGTTTTAGCTCAGTGGTTCTGCCGCCTGCCTCGCAAGCTCAAGAACCTGAGTTCGATCCCCGGTACCAAAAAACAAAAGACAAAAAACAAAACAAAATCACAAATCCCCAAAAGTCTACTGTAAATCAGACCTTGCAACAAGTGTCTAGTATTCTGACCTGACACTGAACATTAGTTTTGTCTGTCACTGAACATCCTATGGATAGAACCTCATATAGCAAAGTTCATTCCTGTTCATTGCTCTAACATTCCAATATATGAATATTCCACAAGTTGTTTATTTAAATGTTGAGGGGCCGGGGATTTAGCTCAGTGGTGCCGCTGCCTGCCTCACAAGCACAAGGTCTCAAGTTTGATCCTGGGTACCAAAAACAAACAAATAAATGTTGAAAGACATTTGAGTGATTTTCAGTGCTTAGCTATTATAAAACTACTAAGATCTCTTTTTTTTTTGTTTTTTGTTTTTTGGGTTTTTTGGTACCAGAAATCAAACTCAATTTTCATACATAATATTGCTACATTTATATACTTTTTAATACTTTTGTAACCTTTTTTCATTAACATCTTTCCATATCAGTATACTCTCTTTTTCCTTTGGTTTTTTGAGACAAAGTCTCCTTTTATAGTTCAGGCTCGCTTTGAACTCACTATGTAGCCCAGGCTGGCTTCAAACTCATGTCAAGCCTCCTGCCTCAGCCTCAGTGCTGGGATTACAGGCATGTGCCACCATGCCTGGGTTTTATATATATATATATATGTATATATGTATATATATATTTTTTTCTTTTAATTAAAGAATTTAATGTTCATTAAGTCATCCAATAACAATAGGGCATTTTCTTATCAGAATTAGAGCTGACAGGGATATGCTTTTTTATCTAGTAAATTCTTTCTATTTAATCATTTTTCCTTTTCATATTTGCTCTTGGGTCTTCTGCTGCAATTTCCTCATGTCAAATAAAATGTAATCTTCATAATTGCAGTAAGAAGAGAGAAGATAATTCTGTGGAGGGAAATTATTCAAGGCAGGAGGACTAAAATTACCAGTCTTAATTGGTTTTCTATTTCTATTGGGTACACGGATTGTCGTTTGAGAGCTGAGAGTATATGTTAAGCTCTTGGGGAACAATAATGTGTTTGGAGAGGGACCAGGAAAAAAACAAGATAAATTATTGTGTTTCAGCTTGAATTGCTATGTAGATTACAGAAAATAAGGATGAATAATAAGGACCATTTGCTTGCTAATGGTCATGAAATTACATTCAGCTGTAATTGTATGTAAAGCTCACTTGGAAGAAGTATGCAGGGATAGTCTTGGATCTAGACACACCGTGTAGGTCTATTGCTTCAAAATGCACAAACTGGAGGTGATTTTTGGTCATCTCTTGCTTAATATGCTTCATTTTTGAAGAAAGTTGAGGTGGAGTCAAAATTTGAGTGCTGTTCCTAGCGTGATCAGAGTTTGGGTTAAATTCACCGGCCAGAGCACGGGTTGCTAGTTTAGGAGGTGATGTTTTGTGGCTGTAGTCGGATCCTGGGCATCCTTGTCATTATGTGACAGATGAGATTCAGCAGGCTTGCTCGAGTCTCCCAGTCTGTGGCACAGCGTTGGGTTTCTGGTCCTCTCATTTGACGTGGATACGTTCATTTCTCCTGCTTGAGTGCAGCAGAGGTGTGGTTTGGTAACTTTCCTTCTTGTCCTTAACTTACTGATCCTGCTGGCTTCAGCCTCACTACCTCCGTCTTTTGTTGTGTGCCAGTAGCCACAGGATCTGAATGCAGCCAGACGGCCCCAGAGCTCTGTGGGCCGAGCACGTGGCCCACCCCAGGGACACTGGCAAAGGCCCCTGGGTTATATTTTTAATAATGTATAAACTTCTATTGTTGATTCCAACATTTTTTTCTTATAACATGTAATGAACATCTTTCTTCTTTTCTGAACCCGATTATTTCCTTGAGGAATTTTAAGCACTTATACTTAATTCAAGTTGTGCTTGCTTCTGCAGCACAAATACTGTACTTGCCCTAAGTATTGGGTACTATTAGCCTGTGTGTTGTGGGAAAAACCAAGATGAACAGGAAAACAGCCCTGACATCTAGCATGTTGCGTAGAGATTATACGTACAGAATACAAATTAGCTGGGGATTCAGTGGCACCACGCCTACCTCGCAAGTGCAAGCTCCTGAGTTTGATCCCTGGTACCAAAAAAATCTTGAAAATTTTTAAAAAATTAAATGCAGTTATGTGTAGAAATGAGAGACAATAGAACAAGTGGTTAAAATTTTGGACCCTGGCATCAGAGTGCCTGAATTTGAAAATTTTATTTTTCCACTTGCTAGGTGTATGACTCTAAACATTTATTTTTTTCTCTTTGTGTCCCAAGTTCTTATCTGTTCCCAAAAAAAACAGTGAGTAAAGTGATCCTCATCCTCATAAGTGCTTAAGGTTTAGGTAAAATATGTTAAGAACTGTCCAGTGACTTAACATAAGATAGGTAAATTAAGTATTAGCTGTTGTTATGATAATGGTTATTTCTAGAAAAATAAGGACCATAAGTGGGTCCTTGGAATACATATTATACAAATAAATATTCTTTTAAGTTAATTTAGATTTTCATTGTTTTTTATTCTTCTGTTAACTCTATTCTAACAATACTTCGGTAATAGACTGCACATATGTATATTGGATGAGTGAATGAATGAGTGTCCATGTATTCTGGGGAGACTTTTGTGAGTTGAAAGAATTATGGTGATCTAACAAATTTTCTGATTTCAGGTTTGAAAGATTGGAAGTCCTAGCTGTATTTGCCTCCACAGTCTTGGCACAACTCGGAGCTCTCTTTATATTAAAAGAAAGGTACTTTTGTGTATATTATTTTATTTTATTTATTTATTTTTTTGTTACTGGGGATCAAACTCGGGACCTTGTGCTTGCGAGGCAGGCAGTGGAATGTGTTTATTATTTTCAATCCCGTCTGTGACACTTTCGGAACATGAAAGAATCCACTGGGACACATCTGGTTTGAAAGGATATGCAAATAAAGGCAATAAATGTCAGAGTCCTTGATAGTGCAATTTCTTCTTGTTTCTCAGAATTTTTCCCCTTCTTTTTCACTTATTTTATTTCTCTTTCTGATGTTACTTCATAAAGATTCAATCAGACTTGTTTTGATGCTTGTTACAAACCCTTGGAGACAAGTTTGATAGAGAAAGATTGACATTAAATACAAAGGATAATTTGTGAGTCTCCTTGTCTCATCACTACTAATAATAGTTGGATATAATATTAAAAGATTTTGTGAACTTTAAAGTAGGTTAATTATTTAATATAGCTTTTTAGTTTTATAATTGATAGGACTTATTAATATATTTTTTCCTTTCCTTTAGTGCAGAACGCTTTTTGGAGCAGCCTGAAATACACACGTGAGATTTTATTTTTAACATAACAACATATAACATATAATTTACTATTAAGTTTGATTCTAATTATTAATTGATGTATTATTTAGAACAGTTACTTTGAGCATTAGTGTTCAGAGTGTGACAATATACATTTCACTGGCCTTGCAAAAACAAAAATCCCACTGGGAATTTAGCTCAGTGGTGCCCCCGCCTGCCTCGCAAGCACAAGGTCCCAAGTTTGATCCCTGGTACCAAAAAAAAAAAAAAAAAAATCCGAAGACTGCTTCCTTTCATCTTTAACAGTTCCCAAGCCTTGGATACTTCACAGTATGGCCTTTCCATCTCAGCTTAGGTCCTTCATTGTTTATAGTCTCAGGTCAACCACTTACAATCCCTGTAGTCTTTTATAATTTCAAATTTGACCCCCCAAATCTTTCTTTGCACCTATAGAAAAGGATATTGTATGTATTACCCACATACTGGCCAAATCTATGAGCATTACTTATTTTGATCAGTTAAATCAGGAAAGTCTGACTTACCCAGTATAAGCCAATACCATTAACATTGATGCAAATTTAAAACATTACTTGCCTATAATTAGCTGTTAATGCTAAGAGCCCTTTTGTTGTCCTGTGCACAAGGGAGCAGCAATAGATGGGACATAGATTATGCACTTAGAATGTGAAGCTCAGATTCTGTCTGTGGAAATACCAGACCAGTGAAGCACCTCTTAGCCTCTGTACATACTGAAGTGACATATTCATATTACCAAGAAGAAAATAAACTTAAATATGTGAATTGTTATTCTTTTTAGGGGAAGATTATTAGTTGGTACTTTTGTCGCTCTTTCTTTAAACCTATTCACGATGCTTTCTATTCGGAATAAACCTTTCAGTTATGTCTCTGAAGGTATGTATTTTATTTACTATTAATAAAAAATACAATTAATCTCTTATAAAAACAAGTTTTTCCCTTTTTTTAACTCTTAAATCAACAAGAAAGTATAGTCTATTTTTTTTTAACTGTATATCCCTTTATTGGTACATTTTAGGTGTACAATATAATGACATTCATCATTGGAAATTTGCACCTTTACAAAATCTCTCTTGGTTCTTATTTTTCCCCCTTCCCCTGCCCTCCCTTCAAACCCTCCATCCCTCCCTATTTACAAAGACTTTGTTTCCTTTTTTTCATTTTCTCATATTAATTCCATTCCCTTCTTTCCTTTCCCCTACCCCTCCCACTTCCCCTTCCCCTTTGCCCCTTTTCTTCCTGTTTCATGTTATCTATTATACCTTTTAGTCCTTATTTACACTAAGAAAGTATATTCTGAAAAGAAGGTAAGTTCACTGATCCTTTCAAATTAACTGTCTATTGTAGTTGAAACTGGTTTGTTTTGTTGTTTTTTGCTTTTGTAGTATAGGGATGGAACCCAGGGCCTTGTACATGCTAGATGAGGGCTGTACAACTGAGCTATATTCCCAGACCCCAGAACTGCTTTTGACTTAGTATCCTAAGGACATGAAAAAGAAAAAAGTTCTAGTTTTCAGCAATAGCATGTCTTTTTGAAATTACATAGTTAACTGCCCAAGTTATTTTTAAAAGGAACTAAAGTATTTCTAGAAGTGATTAATTCTTCTATTATAGATAACTTAAATATTTTCTTCTTAAAGCTGCTAGTACGAGCTGGCTTCAAGAGCATGTTGCAGATCTTAGTCGGAGGTAAGATGTTACGGAGTTTCATAATGTGCGTAATTTAAAAAGAATTCACAAGAAATGTATCTAATATAGGGACTTACTTATTGCTGAGGTTACTGTGTGAACTGAACAGATTAAATTATTATTCTTCCTTTACATTTTAATTAATGATTTTAAAAAAGGTCTTTGAAAGTGAGAGAACCTTGTTCTCAAATCCTTTTTGCCTTCTTTAAGAAGTATGTATATAGCCAGGTGTGGTGGCAGCACACACCTGTAATCCCACTAGTCGGGAGGCTGAGGCAGAATGATCACTGCAGGTTCACAGAGTTCAAGGCCAGCCTGAGATACTTAGTGGGACCCTGTCTCAAAAAAAAAAAAACAGGGCCAGGGATTTAGCTCAGTGGTTCCACCTCCTGCCTCACAAGTGCAAGGTCCCGAGTTTGATCCTTGGTACCAAAAACAAACAAGTACATTATTTGATAGTAAAATACAAGTTATCTTTTACAAGGTTTTTATCAGTATTGTGTGAATTCCAATGACTGCTCTGTTTCTTTATAGCTTGTGTGGAATTATTCCAGGACTTAGCAGTATCTTCCTTCCCCGAATGAATCCATTTGTTTTGATTGATCTTGCTGGAGCATTTGCTCTTTGTATTACGTACATGCTCATTGAAATTAAGTAAGTATTTTTTATTGCTGTCATGTGTGTTTTGATTCCTGAAGCCAGACTTAAGGGCATCAACAGGAAAGATTGGGGTCAGTCTTCTATCACTGTTACTAATTACCTGTGTAGGATTGCTCAAATCTTGTCCTCTGAAAAATTAAGGGGATTGGAGATTGGGTGTAAGTATTTCTTCTCACAATCTGAAACACAGACTAGAAAACTATTCAAATCCATACTGCTGACTGGATGAGTGAAACAGTAAAAAAAAGATCTAAATGACAGCTGATATTGCTGGGAGAGGGAGGAGAAGAGGAAGTAGGTGTGAAGCAATTTCTTAAAATTAAAGCCTCTTAGGAAATAGACATCACAGCTACTTTAACCTTAACATTTTATGACATGAATGTCTGCCTACCTTACCTTTTAAATATTAGTCCTTAATTAGTATTATTCTTGTATAAGTATTATTATTATAATCTGTTCTTAATTTGTATTACTCTTGTTATACATATTCTCCTAAATATCACATATAATTCTTTTTATTTACCACCTCTATGAGGAGTCTTAAATCTGTTTCTAGCTCAGATCTTTGTTGAATTCCAAAAGGCATTATCTTCACAACTTCAATTCATGGCTATTTTCAAAGGACCTATTTTCTTCTATCATCAAGACAAGTTTTTTTTTGTATTTCCTGTTTCAGTGAATGGTACTACTATCTATTTCAGCGTATTTGTTTTTTAAAATTGTTTTGTAAAATGATGTATAACATAAAGTTTATCATTTTAACTATCTTTAAGCATAGAGTTCGTGGTATAATTACATCCACATTTTTGGATAACCATCACCACCATGTATCTCTTTTCATTATATCTAACTAAAACTGTATATGCATTAAACAATAATTCCCCATGATCACTGACCCACCATCCCTGGCAACTACCACTCTTCTTTCTGGGTATCTGATTTCAGCTAGACTACCTCATGTAGGTAGAATCATCATACAGTATTTGCCTTTTTGAGATTGGTTTATTTTACGTAGTATAATGTTTCCAAGGTTCATCCACTATGTAGCATGGGTTAGAATTTTCTGTCTTTTTTAAGGCCAAATAATATTTCATTATATGAAAATGCCACATTTAGTTCACTCATACATCTATAAATGAACATTCAGATTGTTTCCATTTTTGGCTATTATAAATAATTCTACTCTGAACATGGGTGTGGAAATATTTGACTCTCTGCTTTCAGTTGTTGGGGGCATATACCTAGTAGCAGAATTGCTGGATCATATGATAATTCTGTATTTAATTTTTTTAGTAATTCCACTATATTTTACTCCCTCTTCCCCTCTCCTTCTTCTCCAAGCCAGTTGTAATTGATCACCAAATATTAAGCTTTCCTTAATTTTTGTTTCTCCTTTCCCATTTTGGTTTCCCAGCTATGGCTTTTATCATCATTTCTTGGCTTAAGTAGAATAATCTGGTATTCTAATTTTGATTCTCATCTCTAGTTACTTCTGTTTTGGTACTAATATGACCAATTGGGACATAATATTTTCCTGTTTCAAACCTCTCCCCTTTGCATATTTGTGGAAATTAAAAGTTAGCAGAGTCCTGTGAATCAGACCTCTAACAGCCTTATTAGCCATCCATCCGTCTGGGCACAGTTTAGATTTCCTTGCTGCACCTGGGTTTTCCTGCTGCTTTCATTGTCTAGAACAGTGAACCTTTCAGAGCTCTCAACGATACAAACACCCCTCGGTGCCGTGCGTGCTGTAGGTTCGCCACCGCTGGTCTAGGATGTCCCCTTCCCATTATCTTGATTGTCTTTGAAGGCTGACCTCCTCCGTGCAGCTAGCCTTGCTGGACTGTCCCCACCCCGGTAGCCTAGTCACTCAATCTTTTGGGTATCTGTGAGACCCTTTAGAGATTTTTACTTTAATATCCAGAGCGCTTTATTTTATGTTTCTGATATGTGTATTCCTGCTATTTCTAAGACAAGGACTGTGTCTTATTCATGTTTCTATTCTCAGCAAATAGGAAAAAGATCAGCTGCAAGATCAGCTTGTAACCATTGACATTTTGCTCTGTCTTGTTAATAGAACTTCAGCAGAGTTTACACTGTCAATAAAATGTTGCAGTTCTGCCTCAGTATTGCTATAACGAATTCCTAGAGAGTCCCATTTTGGGGAATTTTAAGTTTTTATTGAAACAATTATTGTTTATAGAAAAATTGATAGAATCACTGATTAGTTCCAATACTCTGTATCAGAAATTACTAGTTCAAATTTTTTGTCTGTCTCAGGCAAATGGAAATCCTAGTTGACAAGATTAAAGCATTCATAGTGAGAAAATGTTGACATTTTTTCTTCATCTTCTCTCCATACTAATTAACATAATTATTATTTTTCCACTAAACTTTGACAAGAAGGAATTCTAAAAACTTTTTTCCTCCTTTGAGGTGTTCCCTACCAGTATTGCAAATTTGTGATAGAAAAAAAAAACAATTCTCTTGCTTTAAAAAATTAATGTTCAGGGCTGGGGATTTAGCTCAGTGGCACTGAGCCTGCCTTGAAAGTGCAAGGACCTGAGTTCAATCCCTGGTACCAAAAAAAAAAATTAATGTTCAGTAGGTTGAATTGTAAGATGCCCAGTGAAACATCCATTTAAAATTTAGAATTGTTTTCTCCTTTTAGTAATTATTTCGCTGTAGACACTGCCTCTGCAATAGCCATTGCCCTGATGACGTTTGGCACTATGTATCCCATGAGTGTGTACAGTGGGAAGGTACTACTCCAGGTAAGGGTCTCGGCATCCACATGCTCAATGCTAGCAGTGTCCTTCTACCAGATTGAAATGGTGTATGTTTTCTTCTACCAGTGTGTAAAAATTTTAGCAACTGGAGGCCCTGTTAGACAATAATGTGTGAAATTCATATAATAAGAACCAGGTGTGGGGTGGGTATTTAGCTCAGTGGTTCTGCTGCCTGCCCTGCAAGCACAAGGACCCAAGTTCAATCCCCAGTACCAAAAAAAAGGGACAGAGAACCAGGTGGAATTCCATTGACCAATAAAGCAGGCACAAATTCTTCTATGTTTCTCTAACATTGCAATCAGGAGTTTAAAATTATTTTCCTCCAACGTTGATTCAAGTGGAAACAATAACTACTTGAATTTTTTTAGATATTTATTTTCCCTTGGTAATGTGCTTTGGCTATTGAGTAATCTGATTATGATTGTTTTCTTATTTCCTGTCACTGGATCAGTGAGACTTTGAAATTTTTTTTTTTTTTTTTGGTACCAGGGATTGAACTCAGGACCTTATGCTTGCGAGGCAGGCGCAGCTCCACTGAGCTAAATTCCTAGCCCTGAGACTTTTAAATTTTTTACTTAAGTGAAACCATAGAAACATGTATAAACAAGCCCCTTTATATAAAGGTGGTTTCCTAGCCAGGGGTGGTTGCACATGCCTCTAATCCTATTACTCAGGAGGCTGAGGCAGGAGGATCACCACAAGTTTGAGACCAGCCTGGACTACACAGTGAGTTCAAGTCCAGCCTAGAATATGCAGGGAGACCCTGTCTCAAAAAAACAACAACAACAAAAAGAGAGGTGGTTTTCCAGGGTGGGATGTGTAAGTAAGCACTGTTCTTCCTTCTGTTTCTTACTCCTGGTGCCTTTTCTAAAACCCGGTTCAGGTCTGCTGCCTGCCTTTCAAGCGCAAGGTCCCGAGTTCAATCCCTGGTACCAAAAAAATCCAATTAGCGGACAGTAGCTCCATTTCCAAAAACAGTAACAAGAAGGTAATAGTTGCCCTGTGAAAAATGTTACTTTTCTAGCCATTTCATGAAGATTTTTGTTGAGTAGCCTGTTGATCTTTTAAGTTATATTTAGTTCTGGAGATGTAACCTTGTTTGTGAGATTTTTTTTTTTTTAAAGTTCCTGTACCAGTTATTGGCGCTGTCCATAGTGAGCCATTTGAAATCCCCCCTCCTGAAATCATGTAGGGAACATGGCAAACGCAGCGTCTGGTTCATAATCCATTTGGGGGAGATTGCAGGACCAACCGTTGTTACAAAAAAGTTTTTTTCTTTCTAGGCTATTGATATTTTCTTTTTCTTTTTCTCCAGACAACACCACCCCATGTTATTGGTCAGTTGGACAAACTTATCAGAGAGGTAAGGCATAATAGTAAATAAAATCATTTTAATTTATGTTAAGGAATTAAAAGTGTGGGTACATGTACAACTTTATTCAATGCTACCTAGAATTTTATTCTAGGGGTGTTATGTTCTTTATAAAAACACAATAAAAGATCTAACATAGAGGCAAAAATAGAAAAATTTGAGGAATTGCTTAATTTGAAAGCCAAACTTGCTGGAAGTAATTGTAGAAGGCATGAGCCAAACTAAACTTCCCCTCCTTTAAAAATAGTGTAGGAGGGCCGGGGATTTAGCTCAGCGGCATAGCACCTGCCTTGCAAGCCCAAGGTCCTGAGTTCGGTACCAAAACAAAAAAACAAAAACAAAAAAAAACAGTGTAGGAAAAAATAGTCTAAAGACCACCCTATGAGCTGCATAAACACTGTGACTTTTCTGATTCTGTATTTAAATCTAGGATTTTGATAAAAATCAAAGTTCACTTTTATATGTTATTTTACCATCACTTTTATATGTTATTTTACCACCAAACATCTTATTCTATGGATTTAGGCTTTCTGTTATAAATGTTAACCGGCTAACTAATGAGAAAATAAGATAATTGAATGACTTGGATGTTGAGACTATTCTAAACACTCAGCTGTCAGTATCGCAAAGGCCACTTTGCCCAACATAGTTGACGACCTGTCTCAGCTAGTGAAGCCTGGCCCTGGATGTACCTTCTGTGCCACTGTGCACGTGGGCCACACTCCGACTCTGCCCTTGGAGTGTCCTGACAGGTCGTATCTGTGCTGTGCAGAGATTTGTTATAAGGAAATCCAGAGAAAGAAATGATTGGCAAAAGTAAATTGATACCACATATAGATAAAATCAAAGAAGGAGTCATGCAGTGTTGAATGGTGGCGGAGGAGCATGTGTAAGACTGAACAGTCATGACCGCATTCTAGAAGGATGGAGCCAGCCTGAGTCCATACTGAACACGCAGGAAGTGGTATCTTGAGTGGTCTGGGATTTCTCTTGGCTGGTGAGCATCCTCATGTAGGGTTTGGGCATATCATTTACAGACTTAAGCCCATAATGTGACTAAACTATGTTACATATGTCAAATGCAAACAGTTCTCATCACTTACCTGTTTTTGATTAGGTATCTACCTTGGATGGAGTTCTAGAAGTTCGAAATGAACATTTTTGGACTCTAGGTTTTGGCTCATTGGTATGTTTTTCTACATATCAGTTTATTTATAATTTAAAACATAGTTTTTAATTTTAAAACAGAGAAAAAGGCTTTCTTTAAAATTTTCATAAAAAAAAAACCTTCGTAGAGCCTTTGATTCCCATTTCTGTTCAATAGTATCTAAAAGGTAGATGGTTTCAGTTACTTAATTAAAATTGAGAGATGTTTTTATTTTTTTTTAAACCTTGAAACTACTGTTGATCTTCATAGTAGATTTACCAGATAAGAAAAATCTATAGTCATTGTAATTCCTATGAAAATGTTATAAAAGTTAAAAGTACAAGTATTGTATATTCTTTCTAAATTTAGTTCTAATTTTGGAGATCTTGCCAAATATGTCAAATATTGTAATAATACAGCTCACTTCAGTATAAAAATCCATATTTTCTAATCCAGTTTGGACTTCATTACCAAAGAAACTTTATTATAACATAGTTTTTTTCCTGTCAGGAGTGACAAGGGAAATACAGAAAAGTATCCCCCTCCCTCCTGTAATTTTTTTTTTTTTTTTTCTGGTACCGGGGATCGAACTCTGGACCTTGCACTTGCGAGGCAGGCAGCGGAACCACTGAGCTAATCCCCAGCTCCTGCCTCCCATAATTTAAAACACCATAATCCTATCATCTAGAGAAGACTGATGTTCAAATCTTGGTGCTTATACTTAAATATTGATTCTCCTTGGAAAATGAGATCGTGCTGTTTTATAATTTGCTCTTTTCAATTGATATCTCAGTTTCCCATGTCACTGAATACGCTTCTACAATATCATTTTTAAAAAACCAAACAAGGTTTTCTTTTTGTAACATAACACAGATCCCATAGGTGGGCAGATTGGGGTAGTCCCGCAGTTCAGTGATGTCACTCACCTTACAGTGCTTTCTTTCACACTGGTACTTTCTTAGTGGGAGAATGACTGCTTCACTTCCACCTCTCTGCTCTTTCCCTTGCCAGACTCATTCTCTAGTGAATTCTTTTCTTTTTTTTGGTACCAGGGATCGAACTGAGGACCTTGCGCTTGCGGGCTAGGTGGCAGAACCACTGAGCTAAATCCCCGGCCCACTCTAGTGAATTCTTCAGAAAGGACCTCTGGGAGCAATAGTCCTTGAATTCTTGAATATTGAAAATAGTTTGTGGATATTATACTTGAAAGTCAGTTGACTATGTATAAAATCTTTAGTATATATTTTATTTTCTTGAGTCTCTGAAATACATTACTCCATTTAACTCCCACTTAAAGCATTGGTGTGACAAAGCCCAATAACAATCTGACTCTCCCCCCACCCCTTATGTGATTTTATCTTTTTGCCTGGAGGCCTAAAACATTTTTTTTTTTCTTTAAAGGGGCTGAGGGTGTGCTCAGTGGTAGAGCACATGCTTAGTATATATGCCCCCAACCTGGGTTCAATTCTCAGCATTAAAAAAAATTGTAGGGCCGGGGATTTAGCTCAATGGTTTTGCCACCTGCTGCGCAAGCGCAAGGACCCGAGTTCGATCCCCGGTACCAAAAAAAAAAATTGTATGTCTTGGTGTCTATTCTGGGTCAGTTATTTCAGGTATGTTTTTTCAAAAATAAATTTAAAAAATATTCAGGAAAGTCTTCATAGTTCTTAATATTCTGATCTCTTGCTTTGGGACCACGTTATATGTATGTTGGATCTTTGTCTTTCATATTTGTTATTTTCTCAGTCCTTTTTATTTCTTAATTTTCTTTTTGTTGTTGTTGTTTTGTGTTGTTTTGGTACTGGGGATCAAACTCAGGACCTCACACTTACCAGGCAGGCTCTATGCCGCTGAGCTAAATCCCTGGCCCTCTTAATTTTCTTTTGATTTTTACATTTTTGCTTTTTTTCTTAAGGTATAACTATATGTTTATTTGCTTTTGTATTCCTTTTAGTCTAATCTTCATTACTACAGTGATTTTTTTCTTGCATTTTCAATGTTGTTTCATTTCTGTGATTTTTCTAATTATGCTTTATGTTGTTTCATGTCTTTTGACTTGTTTTGAAAAAATGGGTTATAATTTTTATCTGTTTTGTAATTATGTCCTGGTAATCTTATAATCTATTTTTTTTTCTTGTAGTAACTTTGTGTGAGATTTGGCTTCAGTCCTTTTCTCATATTCATTTTTATGTGAAATTAGTTTTCTTGAACTTTAAAATTAAAACTGGTTTATAGTAATATGTATAAATTCACGGTTTGAGAGCTCTTTCTGATGATTCCATAAAGTGGAAGATTTTCTTCTGACTCTGTTCCTCTGTCTGAATGCACCTTCTCTATCCTTTTTCTCTGCTGTGCTGTTCACTTTAGGTTCTCCAGTTTTTCTTCTTAATGTGGGGTTCTGCCTAGTTACTTTTGAGAGCTCACAGGGCTCAGGCCACTGCAGCCCTCAGACTTCATTGAGACCCAGCGGATCACCACCAATAAAGTGTGCAGAGCCCCTCCTGGTTTCAGTGACCTTCTCAAGTGGGCTGTCCTAGATTTTTTAAGTACCATTTAGCTGCTTTGGGGGTTTTAGATTAGTCAGATGTGCTGTTCTTTCCTCCTGCACAGGCTGTGATACCATGCAAGTTTTATAGCTTGTATTTAGAATTTCATAGGGATACCATTTTACTTAGTTTTTCTTTTTCTGTTTTCTATTTATTTATTTATTTTTGAAATTTGTCTTAGTTACTTTTCTCATGACTGAGACAAAATACCTGACACCCAAAGTTAAAAGGATGAAAGGTTTATTTCGCTCACGATTTGTAGAGATTTCAGTCCATGATTGGCGGGCTCCAAGGCAGGGGGCCACAGCAGAGGGGCCTTGGAGAAGAGAAAGTTCACGGCAGCCAGAAGCTAGCAAAGCAACAAGGGCCGACCACAGCTCTGTTTTATCGTATCCAGCCTACTTAGGGCCGTAGCACTCACACCTTTAATCCTAGTGCTCTTGAGCCTAGCGTTGCACCAGGAATCAACCCCAGCATCACACACTCTAGATCCAGACCCCTCTGAAAAAGCCCCACCTGTGACCACATGAGGCTTTGGAGCAACATCTAGACACAAGCCATAACAGTGTTATTCATAAATTTTCAGCTTTGTTGTATTTGTTTGGTTTCTGAGGATACTTAGGCATTTCAAAAATTTCTGCTATCCTCTAGGAATGCCAACATAATTTTTAATGGCTACAGTTTTATATTATATAAATCTTCATAATGTTTCATTAGTTCTCTAAAGGACTGTTTTCCTTTTTTTTCTATATAAATGGGCTAGAGTGAACATCTGAGTAGAATAATATTTGTGTATCTATGATTATTCTTTGTGTGTGTGTGGTTTTGAGAGATAGCCTCACTGTTTAATGCAGGCTGGCCTTGAACTCATGGAGATCCTGAGCCTCCTGAGTGCTGGGCTTGCAGCCTAGCACCAACACAGCTGGCGGCAATTCCTAAACGTGGCTTGTCTCACCTAAAAATGATACCCTGTGAGTCGGATTTATGGAATGCAGGTATTTTTCTCTGTCTCATCATGACAGTAGCTCTGTATTTAGCCTTCTAAGCCATACACTGAGATAAATCATAATTAGATAAATTCTTTTGCTAATTTATATACTGTTGCTGTTATAATTTTTTCTATTTTGAAAACCTGAGTTTATCTAGAAAGCAACATAGCATGTCAGGACATTTTATTTACTGTACAATTTTATTTTCATTTTTATTAAGTAAATAGTACCTTATTATTAGAAAACAACTTGTGACTAAGTCAGGAAGAAAGTAAAACTCCTAAATAATTTTGCCATGTAAAAACAATTGTGGTCATTCTTGATTTTTTCTTTGTGCACATTGTATGTTTTTAAATTTTTTTAAATTTTTCTTGTGTTTTAATCAAAATAGGATCATTGCTATACTTACATGTTGTTATCTACTTTAAATATATAATGTATAACGAACACCTTGTCAAGTTGCTGAATATTATTCTAACCATCATTGAAATGCCTGGTGCGCTCTGTCCTCTAGTACCTAGGCTAGAAACCTTGAGATCATTTTTGACGAGTCTGTCTCCTTTATCCATTTAATCCATTTGGGTATCACATCATCCCATTTCTGCCCCTGGGGTAGGATTAATCCATGTGTTGCTCTTGTATCCTACGATTTTTGTCCTAGATCAGCAGTGTCATTTCTAACCCAGACTGTTGCTGTTATTTCCTGCCTCATTACCAGTCACCCATAAATATGACAATGTTCCTAAATTAGATTGTTTTACTTCTGTCTGAATGCAGCTGTTAAGTCAGAACTTCCTATCATTTTAGTGCCCTCTCCTAGCCTGTTTAACCTTATTACCCATCTCTTTCCTTCTTTCCTTCTCTTTCTTCATATCTTTCCTTCAGCCCTCTGAAATATTTTTACTTATGTATTAGTATTATTCTTTCTTTTTATCAAATAGGCCATATATTTTCATTGATCTTTCCTCAGCATAGAATGCCTTTCTCTGCTTTTTTATTGTTTTGGTACCAGGGATCAAACTCGGGACCTTGTGCTTGTGAGACACGCGGTGGAACCATTGAGCTAAATCCCCGGCTCCTTTCCATTCTTTTTGAAATTTCATTTATTCATTAACCTTAGATCAAATACAGTCTTCTTTTGAAGTCTTTCTAAGTTGGAATTCATACCTATCCTTCCTGCCTATTTTTATATATTTCATTTATATTGATCCTTGCATTGTAATATTTCTATCTTTCATCTAAATGAATTTCTCTCCTTTTATAATTTTTTTTTTTTTTTTTTTTGTACGGGGGATTGAACTCAGGACCTTACGCTTCCCAGGCAGGCAGCAGAACTGGTGAGCAAGGGATAGGGCCGGGGATTTAGTTCAGTAGTGCATTGCCTGCCTGGCAAGCGCAAGGTCCTGAGTTCGATCTCTGGTACAGCAAAAGTAAAATAAAATAAAAATTTTTTTTAAATAAAGGGATAAGGGCTCGGGATTTAGCTCAGTGGTTTCGCCACCTGCTGTGCAGGAGCAAGGACCCGAGTTCGATCTCTGGTACCAAAATAAAATAAAATAAAATAAAGGAATAAATATTATTTTGTTGACTTTTTACATTGATAGTAGTCTTTAAGAAATAACAAGACATTAGCTTTCTCTTATTTTGAATAAAATACCAAGTACTGACCAAATCATAGTTAAAATTTTACTTCTAATAGAATTTTCAGTAGTATAATTACAATCACTCTCTCTCTTATGATTTTGCCCGTAGGCTGGATCAGTGCACGTAAGAATTCGACGGGATGCAAATGAACAGATGGTTCTTGCTCATGTGACCAACAGGCTTTATACCCTTGTGTCCACCCTGACTGTTCAGATTTTCAAGGATGACTGGATTAGGCCTGCCTTAGTGTCTGGGCCTGTTACAGCCAATGTCCTAAACTTTTCAGACCATCACGTAATCCCAATGCCTCTTTTAAAGAACACTGATGATTTGAACCCTGTCACATCAACTCCAGCTAAACCTAGTAGTCCACCTCCAGAATTCTCATTTAACACCCCTGGAAAAAATGTGAGCCCAGTTATTCTTCTAAACACACAAACAAGGCCTTATGGTGTTGGACTTAATCATGGACACACACCTTATAGCATGTTTAATCAAGGACTTGGAGTTCCGGGAATTGGAGCAACCCATGGATTCAGGACTGGTTTTACAAATATACCAAGTAGATACGGAAGTAACAACAGAATTGGACAGCCAAGACCATGATATACCCTAACTTATTTTTATAAGGAATATTGACTCTTTGGCTTCCAATTTATTTAGTAATCCACCTTGCATTGACTATTCAATCATTTACACTAAATGTTAGAGACTAATGGGCTTGTTCACATTTCATGAAACATAAACTATATTTTTGTAAAATGTTTTTGTGGCAGTGAGATCCTTGCAAATGTTACAGACTTTAAATAGGCTCCTTTTAGAAAGTTTGTTTCTCTAAATTTTAGTTTTGCTGTCTTTGGTTTTGTAACTGCCTGTGGTATGATATGACCTTACCTTTGTAAGAGAGCCTCTTGATTTTTTCAGTGAAATTTATAAACATGCTTTGTGAATAATACACATTTTAGGAAAGGAAAACGATGTCACTTTTAAAGTAAAAGTCTCCTTTATAATTTTTCCAAACTTAATCACTACGTGTTTTTTGAGCCCTTCTTAAATTATAGCTTTGGTTTTCGTTTTCGTTTTCGTTTTTGTTGTTACTGCTGTTGTTATTGAGACAGGACCTCGCTATGCAGTTCGTGCTAGCTTTGAATTCACTATGTAGCCCTGATTGGCCTCAAATTCTCAGTGATCCTCCTGCCTCAGGCTCCCAAGTGCTGGGATTATAGGTAAGCACCAGCACACCCAGTTCTAAATTATGTCTTGCAAAATAAAAGCAAACTTTTTTTGAGGGGGGTACCGGGGATCGAACTTGGGACTTTCCACTTGCGAGGCAGGTGGCAGAACCACTGAGCTAAATCCCCGGCCCGGAGCAAACTTTTTTATGGGAAATTTTTGAGACACATTTTACTTTCTAGCACAATTTAAAGTTTTTTTAATTATCAGAATTTTTTTTTAATTATTAGAATTTTTGTTAAAGTTTGTCTCGTTCACAAATTTCAACACATTTGGGTTTTTTTGTTGTTCCGTGTTTGTTGTTGTTTCAGATAGGGTCTCGCTGTGTAGTTCAGGCTGGCCTTAAACTAACTATGTAGCCCAGGCTGGCCTCAAACTCATGGAAATTCTCCTGTTTCAGCCTTCCAAGTGCTGGGATTACAGGCATGTGCCACCATGCCTGGCAACACATTTGTAAATAGTCCATAGTTCTCAGTGTTTTAATTAGTTGAATGAACACCAAACCTTTGATGAAATACAATGAAAGAATCCCAGTTTTCTATGTTCATAATAGTAGAATGAGTCTTTTTAAATTACTTTTTTTTTTTTTAATATTGGGGATCAAACTCAGGACCTTGCACTTGCGAGGCAGGTACAGTCCCACTGAGCTAAATCCCTGGCCCCTAAATTACATTTTAATTAGTTGATGTTTTCTTTCTCATTTTATTACCAAAATATATTACCAAAATATATGGAATTCCATACGTAATATGGGATTGGATATCTTTTCAAATTTGCATACTTTCACTATATATTATATAATTTTACCAAAATATAATGGACTGTAGATTATAGGATACAGTATTGTTAGGCTGGCATGGGCAGTTTCTAACAGTTTTGCTTGCTTTATCAAAAAAATAGTGAATTGCAGCCGGGGATTTAGCTGAGTGGTTCTACCGCCTGCCTTGCAAGCGCAAGGTCCCAAGTTCAATCCCTGGTACCAAAAAAAAAAAAATAGTGAATTGTTAATGTGATACACTGTGAGAATCATGTAAATTATTTTTTGGTCATTTTCCAAATGCAGGTTTTAAAGACTTTACAACGTGGCCAGTACTATTTCCAGAAAGTATAATGAGTGGTTGTCATACATGACCTATGAAGCTTCTTTTTCTTTTGTGTTGTTCTATTTTTTCATGAGTTGTATATTTACGATTTAAAAAAATATTTTGAAAATGGATTCAACTTCCCTAGAATCCATTGCTTCTGGAGATCTGTGATTTTTTCCAGCCAGCTAACAGCTATCTAGAGAAGTTTTCTGGGTTTTTTTGTAGAATTGGCAGCAGTTTCCTTGGTCAGCTCATCCTCTTTTACAAAAGTAAGACACTTCCAAATCCTCCTTCACAGTGGAGTCCCAGATATCAAAAAAGCCATCTCTATCAAGCAAAGTTGTAATCATCTATGGTGAGAGCGACCATGTTCTAAGCACTTTTGGCTTAGCACAGAGTTGATCATTGTCTATCTGCAGCCCTGTTTGAGCATTTGACCTGCTGAAGAAATACAGTCCACGCTTCCTTGATCACTGGGGAAAAGAAAGTTTGTGAAGTGTAGTAAGGCAACCTGTTTCTTGTCCTTTGTCTTATGTTCTCCAAATATTACTGTCCCTATTGTTGGTCTACTTCAAGGTGATTTTTCCTCCAGTGACCTCATGTAAATGTGAGTTGAGGTCATGCATGAAATCTGAAGAACTGCCTTGTCCTGAGTGATAATTAAGAGGTATGTGCTGCCTTCCCAGATAGGTCTTCTCATGTCTTCCCATGGGGTTTTTACATGATTGGGTACTGAACACAGATCCGTGCCAGGTTCTGTGCCTGCTTCCTCAGCACTCATCCAGAGGAACATCTGTGCAGCTGTGCCACCAAGGTCCTTTAATACTCACCTGCCCTACTTGCTGAAAGTCAACGATGCCAGATGTTGCGGGTGTCATTAGCCTATGCATTATTTCATAGGAGCCTTGCTGGCTAAGTTCTAATTTATGGATATGAGAATAATGATCATGGCCACCAGAGGACTGACTATATACAACAGCCTTATTGGCAAATCTTGCAGAGAATCCTTTGAAGCAAGACAATACAAAAAAACAAAAGGAAATTTGATTTAAATACTTAACCCATGAGCTAGGCATGGTGGTGCACACCTGTAATCCCAGCACTCAGAATGCTGAGGCAGGAGGACTGCCATGAGTTCGAGGCCACCCTGGGCTACATAGCAAGACCTTGTCTCAAAAAACAAACACTTGACCCCCGCCTGTGATTACAAGTAAGCTCCATGGAGTGTGACTATTCCTATTTGAAGAAATCACTATATTATAATGGAAAAAAATCACTGGACTAGGAGGTAAGAGATTTGGGTTTTAGTCCTGCTGCTGAAGCTTTTAAGTAGTTTTGTAATCATGGACAAGTAAGCCAGTTAGCATCTCTGAGCTTTCTCATGAGTAAATTAGGGAGGTGAATGAATTAATTGATCTGTAAAATTTTATGACTAAATCCGTAGAATATGTGCTCAATTACTAAACAAATTTGCCCAGAATTCCTAACTCCTACCTCACATACTAGCCAAGTGTTATCTACACCAACAGCTAAGCCATTAATTTGAGGTGCTGTGAGAACAGAAGGCGTACCGCAAGCTAACACCATTCAGATTCTTGGGTTTTTTCTAAATTTGCTTCAACTTAAATCTGTTTAGAGATTTTTTTAGACTTTTCTGTGAACAGTTATTTTGGGAGATGGTGGAGAAAAGATTAAGGCAGGGTATCCTTTGTTTCTGTAGGGAACAAAAGAATGGGATACATTTTTCCTTCCTTATGGAATTACATACAATGAATGATTCAGCTACTGGGAGCCTTCAATTTACCTGCTTATCAACTGGCAGTTTTTACTTGACTGAAGAATGGTGGCAGTCTATTTTGGAAGTCCGATATGCTTCTAATGTGAGAAAGTGTTGTTTACATTCCAAATCATTTCAATTAAACTATTTCAATTAAAGCATTAGATGAGGGTTTTCTTTGATTTTAGATAATTTTGGTTTGCTTCTTCACAGTAGTTTTTTGTTGGTTTGGTTTGGTTTTGGCAGATAGGACTTAAACCCAGGAACACTGAATTACAGTACATCCCTAGCCCCTTTTAACTTTTTGAATTTTGAGACAACATCTCACTAAGTTGCTGAGGCTGGCGTTGAACTTGTGATCTTCCTACCCCAGCCTCCTGAGTAGCTGGGAGTACAGGCATGTATCACCACACCTGGCTTATTCAATAGCTATTTATTGATGATTTACTTCTATCATGTTTAGCAAATATTTGTTGAGTCTGTTACATGCCAGGTACTATGCCAGGTGAGCATGCATATAATATACCAGTTGTTATGGCCCAGTGTTCTTGGGGCCAAGGGTAACACAAAGGTGAACAAGAGTCTCTTTAAGGAGCTGAGAATCCTTGTTGGGGAGATGAGACACCTAACTGTTGCACATATCAGCAAATGAAACTCCCTTCCACTTCTTCATCTTTGTCTTCTTTTTCCAAGATTTCTCAATCGTCATGCTGATAGAGCCCTCCAAGTACTCATTCGCTTAGGGTGTCTTTTAAGCAGTTACTAGTTTAAAAGCACCTTTAATAACACTGATATCATCATCATCAAATTGCCATCCAATCAGCCTAGCTTCTTGCAAAAAAGTTAACTTGGATAACACATGGCCAAGTTTTCTGACTAAAGCTGCATCAGGTGAAATTCCTTTAGCACTGAAGTCAAAAAATACTAATTGCTGAAGATTCTCAAGTACACCCATGAAGGCAAGCCATCCGTCACTGCTCACACAGTTTTCTGCCAAATCCAACTGCTGGAAGTTTTTCAGAGGATTCTTTTCAAAAAATGCACCTGGGTAAGGAGAGAAGTATGCTAATTGGGAAAAACCCCACAATTTTGAAAGAAAAACAGATTCTATATAATCTTTCCATTCTGAAACCTCCATGTTCGGAGCAGTGCTGAGCTCCTCTGGAAGAAATGAGAATTTTCTACAGATAGACTATGAATATTATATTTACACTATCTTTCCTAAAGTGTAAGGGAGTATGATAAAGAGTAATTGGTAGTAGTATAGTAAGCAAATATAAATGAATTGCATTTTCTCCTTTTTCTGAGTCTTCCAAGAAATGGACAGTGCTTTAAAAATTGAGGTATGAGAAATGCTATTAAATACTGTTATTTTCAAACTGGAATCAAACTTAGGAGATACTAGGTCATTCCTCCCTATTGTATCTTTGAGTATGCATTGTGCCTAACTGTAAAGTGAAGTAAATGAACCTCTTTCTCAAGGATTTGAGTGTGTTTGTTTTTAATCCTCCCTAGCCTCTTCCGGAAGTTTCTCTGGAACTAATGGTTAACTCCATCAGTGGGAGGATGGATATCTGATGTGTCCTTGGTGTCCTGTTACATAAAGAATGGAGCCTTTTTTAGTGTTCATTCCCATGTTACTGGTTTAGATGGTATTAGAACTCAGGTGAATCTTAACAGTAAGAAAATATTTCAGGTCATATACTGCTATGCAAATTGGCCATTATATGTATGACCTTAGGAGTTCATATAACTCCTCACGAATTTTGCACCTTACATTTTGGACGTTAGTCCTGCCCTCTTCCCCGCCCTCTTCTGGATGACCAGCACAGGGTAACAGTCTGGCACACAGAAGGGAACTCAGATCCCTTGTATGTTTGTACTCTGAGCCGTTGCCACAAATTACAGAATATGCGTATGCCTGGTTTAAGGCCATTGATACCCAAAGGCAAAAGACAACAGCCAAAGAGTTCAACTTGAAGGAAGAAGGCTCAGTGCTATAAAACCTATGTTAAGGTCACCAAGCAAAGACTAAATGTTGTCTGCCAGTAGTAATGAAGGCTTTAGGACAGGAGTAGTCATTCTTGTCTGACCAGCTTATGGTAGGTTGAGGTCAACCCCAGGTATGCACAAAGACTATGTACTCTTACCCACTTTCAGTGACAGTGTTGACCGACAATCTGATTTTAGGATCAGATGTCACCATGGTTTTGTGTTGTTTTCTCATTGCAAAAAAAATGTCTTCAGTCAATGTCAGCCAGTACTCTCAACACCTTCATAAGGTATGGAGTTTAGAAAGCTCTTTATGTTCTTTGCAGATACCGAAATTAAACAGGCCCTGGCTGACAGTAGTCAAGATACTAATGACAAAGGTGGGTAATACCAAGTAAGGGATGATTAACAGGGTTGTGCCTCCTTGTCTCTTCACAATGTGTGCTACTTGCCACCAAGACCATCTTTGGGCCCTCCTTTCTCTGCTGATCTCCTTGGGAAGTACAACAGACTGCTATTTGCTCCTCAAGTCTATCTCTCCCTATTCCGTACAGTTTTGTCTGGGTATATGCCCACTGATATCCCAGCCTCTTGCTGCTTGCTGTGGCTAAATTTTTGCCAAAGAAATATAGACAGAAGCAATGAGTGCAGCTTTTGTGTCATTTGGTGGGGGGGCAGGCCCTTCCACATTTCCCATTCTACTGTGTTGAAATGTGCACATGGCAACAACCTAGCTATGACCATGAAGTCCAAAATAAAACTAAGGAGTAAAGAAGTTGGTTTCTGGGTCTGAAAGGCTGTACCGTCATCTGGGATGGAAATAAAGCTCTCCTGTCAGCCGTGGTGTAGGTGGGTCTTTGCTATACCTGTGTAACTAGTACACAGGTCTTCACTCTCCTGTCCTCCTCTTCCCCACAGGAGCACTTCATTCTTGTAGCACGGCTCTTTCCCTGCTCTCACATTGCATGTCCATATCCTTCTACCCTTGCCTCTTTTCCATGTGCTGGCTGCCAGTTAGTGTGCCTGCTAAAATCTCCTTCCCCAAGAAGCGACAACTTTTCTCCTTCTCAACTAGCAAAAGAGAACCACCTAACAAGATTTTTTTTTTTAAGAAGAATTTAAAGTATGTTAAGCCCATTCAACCCTCAGGAGGTGAGCTATTTATACTGCCATCCTCCTGAGGTATAAGGACCTTAGTTAGCTTCTTGGATGATTATTAGAATGTGTGCAAGCATAGGAACCAAGAACAAGCGACACTCCGTAATCCAAGGGAAGCCTTTTGTCCATTGAATTTCCAATGCTTTTGTTATCATGAGGAGAAAACTAGATCTGTGAGAAACAGAACCATGACACAGAGCGGTTGGCTGTGCGTGGACTGTGGAGAGTGCAAAGGGCTTCATTCAAATTCCAGGCAAAATCTCAAGCGCTCAGTGTGTTTGGACTTCTCCAAGATTCTTGTATTCTAAAGAAAACTCTGATACTGTATTGTCCTATAGTTCACCTGAGCTAGCACCAGAGCTCTTACTCAGCTTTCATTCATTCAGCAAACATATTGCATGCCTGTAAGTTTGGTGCTGGGGACATGTGAAAAGGACAAACATGGACCCCGACTCCTTGGGCTTACAACAGTGTGAAGCCAAACACTATAATTACATGGCCACTGGGGTGCCGTGGTAGGTCAGGGTGCATGGAGAACACACAGAAGCAACAGGCTCTCTAACCCCATTCCCAGAACACGGCAATTGGACTTAGATGCTCCAGGGGGAAGATGAGGCTTCTTCTCAGGGAAAAGGCCCTACAAGGAAAGCTATTTCACTTGTCTGATCACCCCGTGGTGACGCTAACCAATCGAAAGTCATCCTTCCCCTCAGACACACAGAGCTTCCTATCAACTGTGCCTTATTCTAAACTGTGAGGAAAATAGTACAGGATCAGCAGACATCTGCCAGCAGCATCCAACAAAGAAGGCTGAGACTAAACACCCCCCAAAAATGAGACTCTTGGGGTGGGACTTATAACCCAATATTGCAAAAAAAATGAGGTATCTATTTTGAGGGGCTACTATCTGGCAGAGCCCTCTTATTTTGTCATCCCCAGCATAGAAGAGCAAAAAGAAGGTGAGAGAACAAACAAGAGGTGAAAATCCCAGCCTCAGGCTCTTCATGGTTTCTGTGAATCCATTCAGGAGGTGGAGCCCTCAGGACCTAAAACAACTCCCAATTGTACCTCCCCTCCCAACACTGTTGTTCTCAGGATTAAGTTTCCAACATGTGCTTTTTGGGGAACACATTCAAACCATCTGCATTAGGCAATATAGGAAACTGTGGAGAGCGGTGTGTGGAAAGTGGTGTTAGCCAAAGAGGCTCCATTTTGAATCTTACCCTCCATTGTATAGAGCAAGGAGACTATGTTATGAGGAACCGCATCCTTGCCAAATTAGATTGCCCTGGAACGTGATGAACGTTCTGTAACCCCAAGACACAAGGAAGCCCATGAGGGTGGAGAATTCCCAAAGAACTAGAAAACAAGGAAGCAGGTGTCTCTGGATAAGGGTCATGATTAACAACCAAACTCGCCTGTTGTATAAAAGGGGGGGGGGGGAATAAACTTGGGCACTCGGTCTCTGGGAGCCCTCCCGACTCTATCTCTATCTCTTTATTTTTCTTCATCCTCACTCCCCCTTTCAGGTGCTGTTTGACAAGTGACGGCCAGCAGACTCCGTCACGGGTGGCGCCCGAACAGGGACCTGAATACGGGGGACCATAGTGAAGGACACCGCGGATCGTGAGCTCGGATAAGTAAATTAAGGGCGGTGAATGCACTCGGGAGTAGCAAAATGGGTATTGGTAATAGCCAGCTGCTTTTTGTACATATGCTTAAAAAAAATGCTTTGGTCTCGTGGAGCAAAGGTAGGGCATCAACAATTATGCAACTTTTTAGAATTTGTAGAGAAAGTTTGTCCTTGGTTCTCTGAAGAAAGCACAATAGATTTAGAAGTATGGAATAAGGTGGGAAGGCGACTTCAGGACTATTACGATGGTCACGGACCCACTAAAATCCCTATAGATGCTTTTAGTTTATGGGCTTTAATTAGAGATAGTTTGGATCCTCGGCATGAGGGAGAGAGGGTTGAAGGACCCTCCTCAAGTCCTTCCTCGGAGGAGCCCAACAAGGCTGGTGTTCCCGAGGTTGTCCCTCCGCCTCCTGTAGAAAGTGGAACTAAGCCATCTGCTCCGCCAGTGTATGCTGATGCGGAGCCTGCACTAAGGAAGGGTTTTTTCCGGATGAGGGACCCCTAAACCCGTGAGATGCTGATGATTTGGAAGAAGAGGCTGCTAGGTATAACAAGGAGGACTGGCCCCCCTCCCTATTGTAGCCGTGGCCAGGAAAACCGAAAAATCCAGACAGCCAGCGAATGAGGACGTGACCAAAAGGATTACTAGGTTGGAAAAGAGATTGGAGTCTCTTTGTCAGCAGTGGCAGACAGGCTTAACGGTGGAAGAGGAAGACCAGAAGACTCAGAGCGGGGGAGGAATAGTTCCTAGTATAATTGCTGGTCTTGATTCCCCGCCGGTTGCAGGTCCAAGATTAATAAAAAAAAACTGACCCTCTTATAGCCATGATTAAACATCCCCCAGGACCCAGGCCTTTGTCTGTCAATTCTCGGTCTCTGTCGACATTACAAGCTACCCTGCAACATGCGGTTGACAGAGGGGAAGATACCCAGGGCTTTCATTTAGCTTGTCCAGTATTTGAGGAAGCTGACGCTCAAGGGAATATGGTCAGAATCCATCAGCCGGTATCTTTTAAGCAATTTAAAGTGTTAAAAATGGCATGTGCACAATATGGCCCTACCGCACCTTTTACTCAGGCTATGTTAGAATCGTTGAGCACGGAGGCGCTGCCTCTTGGAGATTGGAAACAGCTTGCTAAGGCATGCCTGTCTGGGGGAGATTACCTCCTTTGGAAAACAGAGTTTTCCAAGCAGTGTCAAAGAACAGCTGAATTAAATCGGGCTAATAGAAATGATATTGATTATGACATGCTGGCAG